ACAATTTACTGCTGAATACAACCTAACGTTGAGTCCTGTCAAATGTGGTGGGTTGCTTTTAACTCACAGGACTCCTTTTATCGTGATCCCAAATTAAAATTACTGTACCAAAAAAATCTAACAAGGTGTTCTGAAAAGCATTTGCAGCCCATTATAACGTCAACGAGCCCACTTGAGTAAATTTTGCGGACGATTATTGAGACCTGAAGATCAGAACAATTATCATAATGAATCTGGTCATCTAGATACCTGGTCGAAAGTAAAGTTATTTAACTATGTCTAAGCCTGTAATGATGAGAACTATAGGACCTAAAAAAAGCAATCCTTGGTTGGCTTAATTGTGTGTGGAGGAAATTTTGAAGACGTATCTTGGGTGTCCATCCTCTCATTCATTGCAGTCACCGTCTTGGCCACATGTCCACACCCACAATTGAAGAAATAAATCAGAAAAGAATGAAAACTTTTTTCTGAAAGGAATCACCAATCCAGCAAATTCAATGAACTTGTTTCTTTTCTATGCACTCACTTATTACTGGTTTCTCCAACTTTTCTAGAAATATAAACTTAATTATTAGGGAATAAGTCTTAAGTTATTCCCTAATGATGAATTATATATTAATTCACTTCAGTGATGTATATAACAGTGAAACAAGTCTAGCGGATAGAATAAAATAATCGTCACCCAACCAAACAGGAAGACCCCAGCTGGATATTTGGAATTGTAAAAGAATTTCTGTCCACAAAAAAAGTGTCTTTCTGGCAGGAATTTGAGTCTTCTTGAAGTTAGATCTGTCTAATATGATCTATGCATTTGATAATGATTTTGCCCTGGAATAGTCTTAGAATCTGATGACGTATAATGCTGAGGGGAGAGCAAATTTCGTTAACTTCATGGAATGACTAGCATATCTGAGTCTACTTCTGTCTTATCTTCATTATAATTTTGTGATGTAAACTGTACCAATATCTGCCGTACCCCGGAGGGAGCCGGTCGGCCGAGTGGACAGCACGCTGGACTTGTGATCCTGTGGTCCTGGGTTCGATCCCAGGCGCCGGCGAGAAACATTGGGCAGAGTTTCTTTCACCCTATGCCCCTGTTACCTAGCAGTAAAATAGGTACCTAGGTGTTATTCAGCTGTCACGGGCTGCTTCCTGGGGGTGAAGGCCTGGTCGAGGACCGGGCTGCGGGGACACTAAAAAGCCCCGAAATCATCTCAAGATAACCCCCATAATGGTAAGCCTTACTTTGTTTTCATATCACCTTTCTAATTGTAAGATATATATCACACACTTTATGTCTCCCTGGCGCAGTGGTAAAGCTCTCGCTCGTCCGGCGCTTTGGTCTAGATTCGTATCCTGGCCAGCAATGATTGACTGGGCGCAAGTCCTTAACTGTAACCTGTGTTCACCTAGCAGAGAATGGGTACCTGGTTGTTTAACGATTGGCGGGTCGTATTCCGGGGAAAATTAGGATTAAAGACCTGCCCAAAACGCTATGCGTACTAGTGGCTTTACAAGAATGTAAGAGCTCTTGTATATATATAAATAAAATGAAATAAAAAATGTCATGCGGTATCTTTGATTTAGATTGCTTCACACTTGTTTAGTGAAGCCACTATTGTAATAATTTGTACAAGTTCTTACCAATAAAATTTGGGATTCGGACAATGATAATGTCTACGAGCTACGCTGTTATCGTGACTCTAACGTATGTAATTACTGTTCTGTATTTTTAAGTAAGCTTTCCACCTTATAAATGAACAACAATTTATTAACAAAGCCTTTGATTAATTGATTTATGTTTCCTTAGCACGAATTGAGCAATTTCTACCCATCCCCCCATCACCCTAAACAATACAAAATTTTGAAATGGATTTTGGCAACTCAAAAAACCTGAATATCAACAGATAAAAACTCAGCATATTACTCAATAAAAATAAAGTGTCTCTTTACTACCACAGATAACTGAACACGAAACGTGCAAATAACAGTTTGTAAACTTCAAACTGATCTTCAACTAGTGGTAAGTTACGCAAAAAGAAAAAAATTACTCTTTGAGGCAATGATGCATTGTGTGGGCGTTCCTTGCGGTAATCTCTCACGCTCACCACCATAAAAAAAATCTTGTGACTTGTGATGCCACTGCATGATGATTGGAAATATGTACATGATCTAAAAAACTTACGTGTCTTATAGGCGTGAAAACTTCATTTCTTGAATTCATTTATGAATATCTACAAACACGCACACCAACCCACCCTCCTGTTTACATAGCACTTCTAGAAATGATGAGGACCATCTTACATATATTGAACGAAAAAGACAATTAGAAAGTAGAAATCGGCATTCTTCAATTTGGACAAACCGGAAAACGTTTTGTATTTATGTTGTAAAGGAAACCTAAACTAGTTTAACCTAACCATCCTAGGCATAATACACGCTATCTGAGGTTTAATATAGTACATATAGGCAAAAATACTTAACGAACTCCTAACTCCATAGACTCCAAGCAACTATAGTCTACAATCATTAGCAGATTTCCTAGAAATAATCAAAACTACACAGCCCGATGGAATCATTGCTTCCCTAGACGTCGAATCCCTATTTACCAACGTCCCAGTTGACACCACCACAATAGAAATTGTACTGGACAGAGTATACAGAGACGAGAGCACCTATAACTTAGATCTAACCGAGCCACACTTGAAGAGTCTTCTCGCGGCATGTACAAAGGAAGCTCCTTTCATCAGTCTGTAAGGGGACAAGTATCTACAAATAGGACGGAGAAGCAGTGGGCTCCCCCTTAGGAGTGTTATTCGCTATTTTTTTTACATGGGAACCATCAAATATAGTCTTCAGTAGTAGACAAAAACTGACAGTATACTTCCGTTATGTAGATGACATATTCGTCATAGAAAAAGACTCAGATAAACTAATTAATCTAAAAAGCCATCTAGAGAGAGAAAGAGAGAGAGTCAGAACTCCGATTTACACATGAAAATAGTGAAAATAACAATCTGCCATTCTTTGATGTACTAATAACAAAAACAGGAACCTTTTTAAGCACCAGCGTATGTACTAAGCCTACCAACATAGGATTATGCCTGAACGGTAGGAGTGAGTGCCCCCAAAGGAACAAAGCCAGTGTTCTCAATGCTTATATTCATCGAGCGCTTACACACTGCTCCGAATGGAGCAATGTGAGTAGAGAGTTTGACAGAATAACTCAGGTATTGGTGAACAGTGGCTATAGGAACAGGGAAATAAACACCGCTATAAGAAGACACCTGGACCGATGGTACAATCCTGAACCTAGAACGGAAACCACAACACCTCCAATAAAATTATATTACAAATTAACTATGCACAGTGAACATAAAAAAGAAGAAATAATTATGAAGGAAATAATTCGTAAAGGAGTAAAAAGCACTATTCCTGACCAAACATAGACTTGATCATATTCTATAAAACAAAGAAGACTTCAGACCTCCTTATCAAAAACAGCCCGAAGCCGACGGAGAACCCTTTAAAGCAGTCAAGCGTTGTATACATGTACACGTGTCAACATGAAGGATGTAACCTTTAATCTAAGTACATATATATGACGTCGACCAAGCTGACGAGGCGTTTGACCTGTCATCTTCAATCCGGTGCGCCCAGAAATCACATGAGACAAGCCCATGACATCACCCTAACAGGAGAAATGTTAAATAAAAATACTTGTATAATAGACAAAACCCAAGATGCAAGAAGATTACAAATTATCGACATTAAAAAAGAACAACCTACCATGAATACCCAAATTTCGGAACTATTCACTGTACCCACCATGAGAGTAAAAACAAGACCGGAACATAACGATTCCATCACACAAGACACTACGCTTGATTAATCTTTGTATGTACCCTATTTAACCTTCTGATCCTTAGCTTCTTTTCTCCTTCATGTCTACCCAATGTACACCCTTTGTTTACACCTGATCCCATTGTTCGATCCATTTGTATTCCCCCTGACCCACTATTAGTATAAAATATAATGTTCTGGACTGTAACATTATTTAAGAATGAACCATGTAGGTTCGAAATGTAGTGCGAATTTATAATAAGTGTAATATATTCTTCAGTTATTCAGTTCTTTTCTTCACCGTGAAAACAACATGACTTTTGGTGAACTCCTCTTCCAGCTGAACCCTGATGCAAGAGCATTAGTAAGAGGGATAGAAGTCCTAAATCAGAAAATAGTAAATACGGAATATGCTGTCATATTCAATGAGACATACATGAAAGAAAAATACATACATACATATATATATTACAACAGTTTTGGATAAGGTGAAAACAAACTTTCAACACAAGACAGAACACGAAACAATGGGTAAAATATTTTGTAAGTTAAAGGGAAGAATGGAAGTAACTGCAAAGGGCCTATTGGCCCATATTTCTTGATGCTTCTATATTGGTGCGGAGTCTTGAAGTGTGTAGAATATAGTTGTGCATTAATGCATAGTAACTTGGGGTTACTTGGGTTGGTTAAATTGTGCTTGAGGGCGTTGAGCTTTGGCTCTTTGGTCCCGCCTCTCAACTGTCAATCAACTGGTGTACAGATTCCTGAGCCTACTGGGCTCTATCATATCTACATTTGAAACTGTGTATAGAGTCAGCCTCCACCACATCCCTTCCTAGTGCATTTCATTTATTAACTAATCTGACACTGAAAAAATTCTTTCTAACGTCTCTGTGGCTCATCTGGGTACTACGTTTCCACCTGTGTCTCCTTGTTCGTGTCCCACCCGTGCTGAAGAGTTTGTCTTTTTCCACCCTGTCAATTCCCCTGAGAATTTTGTGGGTGGTTATCATGTCTCCCCCTTACTTTTCTGTTTTCCAGGGATGTGAGGTTCAGCTCCTTTAGCCTTTCCTCGTAGCTCATTCCTCTTAGTTTCGGGATGAGCCTGGTGGCATACCGCTGAATCTTCTCTAACTTTGTCTTGTGTTTAATTAAGTATGGACTCCATGCTGGAGCTGCATCCTCCAGGTTTGGTCTTACATAAGTGGTATACAGGGTCCTGAACGATTCCTTACCCAAGTTTCTAAAGGAAGTTCTTATGTTGGCCAGTCTAGCCTATGCCGCTGATGATATTCTTTTCATGTGGACCTCTGGAGACAGGTTCGGTGTGATATCAACCCCCAGATCCTTCTCTCTATTTGACTCTTGCAGGATTTCACCTTCCAGATGATACCTTGTGTTCAACCTCCTGCTCCCTTCGCCTAATTTCATTACCTTACACTTTCCTGAGTTGAACTTCAGCAGACATTTTCTAGACCATTCCACTAGTTTGTCCAGGTCATCCTGTAGTCTCTGTCTATCTTCATCCGTCTTGATTCTTCTCATAATTTTTGCATCATCAGCAAACATTGAGAGGAACGAGTCTATACCCCTCCTTGTCATTCTCTGTGTATCTGTTCTCCGCTTTTCGCAGCTTCATCACTTGTTCTTTCACTGCTGTTTTCCTCCTGATGTGGCTGTGGAGCAGCTTTGGTTGGGTCTTGGCTTTACTCGCTATGTCATTTTCAAACTGTCTCTCTGCTTCTCTCCTCACTCTGAGGTACTCATTTCTGGCCCTCTGGTATCTTTCCCTGCTCTCCGGTGATCTGTTATTTCTGTAGTTTCTTCATGTTCTTTTACTCAGTGGCTTTGCTACCTTGCATTCCTTGTTGAACCATGGGTTTTTCTGTTGTTTTTCGTTTTTCTCCTTTTGGACAGGGATAAACCTGTCTGCAGCTTCCTGGCACTTCTGGGTGACAAAATCCATCATGTCCTGCACATTCTTGTCTCAAAGTTCTGTTTCCCATGGTATTCCCCTTAGGAAGTTCCTCATCTCGTCATATTTTCCTCTTCGGTAATTTAGTCTTTTTCCCTCCGATCCCATCCTTGGATAGGTTATCCTTACCTCCACCAAGTACTCAAAAGTCAGTACACTGTGGTCACTCATTCCTATGGGGGCTTCAACTTTGACTTCCCCTATTTCTGACTCAATCAGGGTGACTCTCAAGTCGAGTCTAGCTGGTTCATCATTGCCTCTCACTCTTGTGGGTTCCTTGACATGCTGGCTCAGAAAGTTCCTTGTTGTCACTTCCAAGAGTTTAGCTCTCCACGTATCTGCACCACCATGTGGGTCTCCATTCTCCCAGTTTACCTTTCCATGGTTGAAATCGCCCATAATTAAGAGTCTTGAACCATTCCTGCAGGCAACTAAAGCTGCTCTCTCTATTATATTTATGGTTGCCATGTTTTTCCTATCAAACTCCTGTCTGGGTCTTCTGTCATTTAGGGGAGGGTTGTAAATGACTGCCACTATTATCTTAGGTCCACCCAATTGTTATAGTTCCTGTTATGTAATCTCTGAATCCGTCACAGTCCGGAATTTCCATCTCATCAAAACTCCAGTCCTTCCTTATCAGCAGGGCCACTCCTCCACCTCCTCTCCCTTCCCTTACTATATAGTAGTCCTTTGGAAACACAGCATCTGTTATGACTCCTGACAATTTTGTTTCCGTGAGTCCTATTACATCAGAGTTTTCTTCTTGCGCCCTTTCTGCCAGTTCACTTGCTGTATTGGTAATCCCATCAATGTTTGAGAACATTACCTTGAAGCTCACTTTCTTATATCCAATTTCACCCTCACTCCCCACAAGTGTAGGAAGTTGTTCCATGGTTATTACTACTTGGGTAGGCTCATCCTCCTGTGAGGTAGTTGCCAGGGGTTCAGGGGGAGGTGGAGTGGGGGATGGAGGGCTAAGGTCTTCCTCAGGCCTGCTTGGGGCAGGAAGAAGTCCTGGGGGTGAGGGGGCAGGGATTGCTTGGGGAGAGGGCACGCCCTCCTGCGGTGTAGTTGACAGGGGTTTGGAGGGAGGTGAAGTGGGGGATGGAGGACTTAGATCTCGTCTGGTCCTGCTTGGGGCAGGAAGAAGACCAGGGGCTGGGAAAGCAGGGCTTTCTGCCCAGCAAGGCTGGGCTGTACTCACCTAGTTGTACTCACCAAGTTGTGTTTGCGGGGGTTGAGCTCTGGCTCTTTGGTCTCGCCTCTCAACCGTCAATCAACAGGTGTACAGGTTCCTGAGCCTATTGGGCTCTATCATATCTACACTTGAAACTGTGTATGGAGTCAGCCTCCACCACATCACTTCCTAATGCATTCCATTTGTCAATCACTCTGACACTAAAAAAGTTCTTTCTAATATCTCTGTGGCTCATTTGGGCACTCAGTTTCCACCTGTGTCCCCTAGTGCGTGTGCCCCTTGTGTTAAACAGCCTGTCTTTATCAACCCTGTCGATTCCCTTGAGGATCTTGAATGTGGTGATCATGTCCCCCCTAACTCTTCTGTCTTCTGTGTGTGTATATGTGTGTGTGTGTGTGTGTGTGTGTGTGTGTGTGTGTGTGTGTGTGTGTGTGTGTGTGTGTGTGTGTGTGTGTGTGTGTGTGTGTGTGTGTGTGTGTGTGTGTGTGTGTGTGTGTGTGTGTGTGTGTGTGTGTGTGTGTGTGTGTGTGTGTGTGTGTGTGTGTGTGTGTGTGTGTGTGTGTGTGTGTGTGTGTGTGTGTGTGTGTGTGTGTGTGTAATTTAAGTAGTGTAAATATTCCTTCAGTCACGGAAAATATACATTTCTGAAGAATCAAGCAATTCACGCTTAAATTTCCACCCGTCATCAGTGTTATATATGGCATTGAGGTCGAGAATTCCTGATGCAATAGACTTGTATTATTTTTAAGTTTTACCTTTGCATGTGTTGTGAAGTGTGCGTGACGAGGATGTCATCTCTGGTATATAAGATGCAGTGAGCACTGCTTTCCATTCACTTCCTCTCCTGACTTACTTCCGCTAACATCAATATGGTAAGAACTATTTTTTTGGTTCATGAGATTCCTTAGTAGATTATATTATCAATAAGTTTTCTGGCATTTTTTCTATTTTAGAGTCATTTGCATCAACTCAACAATTAATTGGTAAAATCCAGTCACTTGTTCTGATCTCGTCTGCTACAGACCTCTACTCCACACAGAACAAGAATCCAAGTAATGAAGATAGTAAGTGTGAGGTCACTCTCCAGGGGCCAGATTCACGAAGCAGTTACGCAAGCGCTTACGAACCTGTACATCTTTTCTCAATCTTTGGCGGCTTTGTTTACAATTATTAAACAGTTAATGAGCTCCGAAGCACCAGGAGGCTGTTTATAACAATAACAACAGTTGATTGGCAAGTTTTCATGCTTGTAAACTGTTTAATAAATGTAACAAAAGCCGTCAAAGATTGAGGAAAGATGTACACGTTCGTAAGTACTTACATAACTGCTTCGTGAATCTGGCCCCAGTCTCCCACTAAGCTGTTCTCTGACTACACGCCAACCTCTCTCATGAGATGCCCTATGTGTTGTGTTATTGAGTTTGTTAAGTCAGCGCTTTGCTGCGTCGTCGTGACAGCCAGTTGTAGCCAGACCAATTTGTCACTATGCTGCCTCTAGTGTTACTGTGCTGCAGCTAGTGTCACTATGCTGCCTCTAGTGTTACTGTGCTGCAACTAGTGTCACTATGCTGCCTCTAGTGTTACTGTGCTGCAACTAGTGTCACTATGCTGCCTCTAGTGTTACTGTGCTGCAACTAGTGTCACTATGCTGCCTCTAGTGTTACTGTGCTGCCTCTAGTGTTACTGTGCTGCCTCTAGTGTTACTGTGCTGCAACTAGTGTCACTATGCTGCCTCTAGTGTTACTGTGCTGCCTCTAGTGTTACTGTGCTGCCTCTAGTGTTACTGTGCTGCAACTAGTGTCACTATGCTGCCTCTAGTGTTACTGTGCTGCCTCTAGTGTTACTGTGCTGCCTCTAGTGTTACTGTGCTGCAACTAGTGTCACTATGCTGCCTCTAGTGTTACTGTGCTGCAACTAGTGTTACTGTGCTGCCTCTAGTGTTACTGTGCTGCAACTAGTGTCACTATGCTGCCTCTAGTGTTACTGTGCTGCCTCTAGTGTTACTGTGCTGCCTCTAGTGTTACTGTGCTGCAACTAGTGTCACTATGCTGCCTCTAGTGTTACTGTGCTGCCTCTAGTGTTACTGTGCTGCAGCTAGTGTCACTATGCTTCCTCTAGTGTTACTGTGCTGTAACTAGTGTCACTATGCTGCCTCTAGTGTTACTATGCTGCAGCTAGTGTTACTGTGCTGCAGCTAGTGTTACTGTGCTGCCTCTACGGTTACTGTGCTGCTTCTAGTGTTAACGTGCTGCCTCTAGTGTTAAAGTGCTTCCTCTACGGTTATTGTGCTGCCTCTAGTGTCACTATGCTGCCTCTAGTGTTACTGTGCTGCCTCTAGTGTTACTGTGCTGCAGCTAGTGTCACTATGCTGCCTCTAGTCTTACTGTGCTGCAGCTAGTGTCACTATGCTGCCTCTAGTGTTACTGTGCTGCAACTAGTGTCACTATGCTGCCTCTAGTGTTACTGTGCTGCCTTTAGTGTTACTGTGCTGCCTCTAGTGTTACTGTGCTTCCTCTGCGGTTATTGTGCTTCTTCTAGTGTACTGTGCTGCCTCTAGCGTCACTATGCTGCCTCTAGTGTCATTATGCTGCCTCTAGTGTTACTGTGTTGCCTATAGTGTTACTGTGCTGCCTCTAGCGTCACTATACTGCCTCTAGTGTCATTATGCTGCCTCTAGTGTTTACTGTGTTGCCTATAGTGTCACTGTGCTGCCTTTAGCCTCACTATGTTGCCTCTAGCGTCACCGTCCTGCCTCTTGTGTCACTTTGTTGCTTCACGTATCATTCTGGCGGGAATAATATGTGGCTGCCTTACGCCAGACCTTCTGAACGTGAATATTAGTTTGTGTCGTCATATATAAATTAATAATATAATTAATAGCAATTCGCCAGAGCTTAACCAGTCTTCTTGATTAATATATCCCATTATGACGGTGAAATCCCCACTGGACAAAATATAATGTATTATAAATCATTGCGGATCAGAAACTTGCACGTTTCTCGTCAGTTGATCCGTCGATTGGGTTCTGGAAATTTAATAGATCATTTACGTGATGTCTTGACGAATCGAGAGGACGGGCTGCACAGAGAGTAATGAGTTAGTTGTCTATGAGTGTAGATCAGCTTTCTAACCCAACCCAGCAGGGTAGAGGTAGATGAGGCTGGGTGCAAGGTGGGGGTAGATGCAGTTGGGTGCATGGGGGAGAGATGAGGCAGGTTGCAGTCTGGGGGGGTAGATGAGGCTGGGTGTAGGGTGAGCGGCCAGGGTGCGCTGGTTTGCTTCACAAACATGCGGGCGTCAAGTTACTGTTAATGACTACATTACTCTCATGTTTCTCTTGAACTTACAGAGGTTGGCGTTAGTGTTCCTGGGTGTGGCCCTGCTGGCCGCCTCCACCTGCGCCCTGCCAGGTGGCAGTGGAGCCTATGGTGGCGGTGGTGGAGGTGCAGGAGGATCCGGAGGTGGAGGGTATGGAGGAGGTGGCAGCAGTGGAGGTGGTGGCGGCAATGGAGGCGGTGGGTATGGAGGTGGAGGCTACAGTGGCGGCACGTCCTCTGCCGTTTTTAACCTCGGAAGTCATGGAAGTGGGTCCAGAGGCGGTGGCAGCTTCGGTGGTGGCGGCTTCGGCGGTGGCGGCTTCGGCGGTGGCGGCTACAGTGGTGGCAGCTCTGGAGGTGGCGGCTTCGGTGGTGGCGGCTTTGGCGGTGGCGGCTACAGTGGTGGCGGCAGCTCTGGAGGTGGCGGCGTTGGCGGCTACAGTGGTGGCGGCAGCTCTGGAGGTGGCGGCGTTGGCGGCTACAGTGGTGGCGGCAGCTCTGGAGGTGGCGGCTTTGGCGGCTACAGTGGTGGCGGCAGCTCTGGAGGTGGCGGCTTCGGCGGTGGCGGCTACAGTGGTGGCGGCTTCAGTGGTGGCGGCAGCTCTGGAGGTGGCGGCTTTGGTGGTGGCGGTTACAGTGGTGGCGGCAGCTCTGGAGGTGGCGGCTTCGGCGGTGGCGGCTTCAGTGGTGGCGGCAGCTCTGGAGGTGGCGGCTACGGAAAATAAATTTGCTTTATCTTAACATTAAATATATACAGTATATAACATTAAATTATCAAATAAATATTTAGTGTATAATAATTTTGTTACTTCATCGATTTGTAAAAAAACATTTGTCATGTAAAATATTCAAGAACAGTAATCAATACACGAGGTGACAATAATATATGTAATGTATTTTACTGAAGGCGCTCAAACAAAAACATCCTTATAACAAGTTAAAAATATACGAATTACTATGTGAGGTCCCGATAAAAGACCTTAAAAAATAACAAATAAAAAATATATATAAATATATATGATGACCAGACCACACACTAGAAATTGAAGAGACGACGACGTCTCTTCAATTTCTAGTGTGTGGTCTGGTCATCATACTTCAGCCACGATATTGTGACTCATCGCCTGCATATAAATATATATCTTATTATATATATAGGAGGAGGGGGTACCACCTCTGGTGCAATGATGCTTATAATACACACACACACACACACACACATTATATATATATATATATATATATATATATATATATATATATATATATATATATATATATATATATATATATATATATATATATATATATATATATATATATATATATATATATATATATATATATATATATATATATATATATATATATATATATATATATATATATATATATATATATATATATATATATATATATATATATATATATATATATATATATATATATATATATATATATATGCGAACAAGCCTGAATGGTCCCCAGGACAATATGCAACTGAAAACTCACACCCCAGAAGTGACTCGAACCCATACTCCCAGAAGCAACGCAACTGGTATGTACAAGACGCCTTAATCCACTTGACCATCACGACCGGACAAAATGAGGTGATAGCCGAGGCTATTTGAACCACCCCACCGCCGGCACTCGGATAGTAATCTTGGGCATAGCATTTTACCAAATCACCTCATTCTTTGGGGCACACGTGAGGAACACAAATGCGAACAAGCCTGAATGGTCCCCAGGACATATGCAACTGAAAACTCACACCCCAGAAGTGACTCGAACCCATACTCCCAGAAGCAACGCAACTGGTATGTACAAGACGCCTTAATCCACTTGACCATCACGACCGGACAAAATGAGGTGATAGCCGAGGCTATTTGAACCACCCCACCGCCGGCACTCGGATAGTTATCTTGGGCATAGCATTTTACCAAATCACCTCATTCTTTGGGGCAACACGTGAGGAACACAAATGCGAACAAGCCTAATAGCCTCGGCTATCACCTCATTTTGTCCGGTCGTGATGGTCAAGTGGATTAAGGCGTCTTGTACATACCAGTTGCGTTGCTTCTGGGAGTATGGGTTCGAGTCACTTCTGGGGTGTGAGTTTTCAGTTGCATATTGTCCTGAGGACCATTCAGGCTTGTTCGCATTTGTGTTCCTCACGTGTGCCCCAAAGAATGAGGTGATTTGGTAAAATGCTATGCCCAAGATTACTATCCGAGTGCCGGCGGTGGGGTGGTTTTGTCCAAATAGCCTCGGCTATCACCTCATTTTGTCCGGTCGTGATGGTCAAGTGGATTAAGGCGTCTTGTACATACCAGTTGCGTTGCTTCTGGGAGTATGGGTTCGAGTCACTTCTGGGGTGTGAGTTTTCAGTTATATATATATATATATATATATATATATATATATATATATATATATATATATATATATATATATATATATATATATATATATATATATATATATGTCGTACCTAGTAGCCAGAACTCACTTCTCAGCCTACTATGCAAGGCCCGATTTGCCTAATAAGCCAAGTTTTCATGAATTAATATATTTTCCCTATTTTTTTTCTTATGAAATGATAAAGCTACCCATTTCATTGTGTATGAAGTCAATTTTTTTTATTGGAGTTAAAATTAACGTAGATATATGACCGAACCTAACCAACCCTACCTAACCTAACCTAACCTATCTTAATAGGTTAGGTTAGGTTAGGTGGCCGAAAAAGTTAGGTTAGGTTAGGTTAGGTAGGTTAGGTAGTCGAAAAACAATTAATTCATGAAAACTTAGCTTATTAGGCAAATCGGGCCTTGAATAGTAGGCAGAGAAGTTCGTTCTGGCTACTAGGTACGATATATATATATATATATATATATATATATATATATATATATATATATATATATATATATATATATATATATATATATATATATGTCGTACCTAGTAGCCAGAACGCACTTCTCAGCCTACTATGCAAGGCCCGATTTGCCTAATAAGCCAAGTTTTCATGAATTAATGTTTTTTTCGACTACCTAACCTACCTAACCTAATCTAACCTAACTTTTTCGGCTACCTAACCTAACCTAACCTATAAAGATAGGTTAGGTTAGGTTAGGTAGGGTTGGTTAGGTTCGGTCATATATCTACGTTAATTTTAGCTCCAATAAAAAAAAATTTACCTTATACATAATTAAATGGGTATCTTTATCATTTCATAAGAAAAAAATTAGAAAAAATATATTAATTCATGAAAACTTTGCTTATTAGGCAAATCGGGCCTTGCATAGTAGGCTGAGAAGTGCGTTCTGGCTATTAGGTACGACATATATATATATATATATATATATATATATATATATATATATATATATATATATATATATATATATATATATATATATATATATATATATATATATATAAAAACTGAAAACTTCACACCCCAGATGGATTCGAACCCAGATAGAAGTTCTGTCTGAATTGCTGAAACCAATTCAGATAGGATTTGGAATCCCTCATGGCTGTGAAGCGGCTGCCCATGCAGCACGAACATACATCTCCAACATTTATGATGAAAAGGCCCTCTTCAAACTGGACTTTAACATGATCAGAAGAGATGCAGTGCTGTGCCGTACATCGCCATTTCCGCCCCTCTACCCGTTCATATTCATCATTAACAGAAGCCTTGCCTCTGCTCAGTGTCCAGCGGAGAGAGAGAGCCCCGCAACCTATTGAACCGTGACTCTGTTGGCTTTGCCGGCTGACTAGATGGAATCACACTGCGTCCCTGGGAGGGTGGCAGACAGTTGGCGTGGGACTATACTTGCGTGGGACAGGGTGACAGCTCACCCTGGCAACCACATACATCAACCTCTCTGCCAGCGAAGCAGAAGCTGCGGCGGCACACAGAGAAAGACAAGTCAGCCAAGTACAGGGAATTAGATCATCGGTAAACTTCATTCCAATAGGGTCTGAGACCCTAGGTCCATGGGGAGAGAGTGCAAGAAGGTTTCTTAAGGATCTTGGTTCCATTGACACTATAAGAGACACTAGGGCGGCAAGTTCTCTCTTTCAGCGCCTCAGTGTCGCCATCCAGAGGGAAGATGCCCGCTGCGTCCTCTGTTCCTGCCCGGCGTCGGAGGAGTTCGAGGAAATCTACAGCCGAACTTTTTCGTGTGTCCTCTCAATGTTCAGAAAATCAGATATATAACAGTAGCCTTGCATGATAAAGTGTACACCATAAAAAATGGGGGTGGTAGGAGAAGCGAACACTCCTACGAATTCACTCATACATATATATATTATATACTACCTGTACCCGGCCACGTGTGGCTGAGCCACAGGAACCTTCCCCTGTCACCCAGTCCTCCCCACCATTCCTTCCTCCCCCATCCCCTCATCCTCCCAACCATTCCCAACTCCCCGTCTCCTCGTCCTCCTCACTATTACCCCCTCCCCCAACATCCAGCGTCCGCTCGTCCTCCTAGCCATTCCCCTCTCCACCGTCCCCTTCTCCTCCCCACCATCTCCCACTCCCTCATTCCCTCGTCTTCCCTACCATTCCCCCCTCCCCCGCCCCATCGTCCTTTCCACCATCCCCCACTCCTCTGTCCCCTTGTCTTATCTACCATTCTCCATTCCCCTCGTCCCCACCATCCTCCACTCCCGCATACCCTCGTCCTCCCCACTATTACCTCCTCCCCTGTCCCCTCGTCGTCCCCCACCATCCCCCAATCCCATCCCCTTGACCTCCAACATTCCCAACTCTCTCGTTTGATGCATTCTCAAATGATTTGATGTTCCCATCAGAAAATTTGGAACATCAAATGATCTGATGTTCCCATCACTGAAATAAGAAAAACAGTGGAAAAACGAAATTAAAAAAAATAAAAAATAAAAATATTTACTATACTCAGGAAATAAACAGAATGATAAACAACACAACTCCAGTCCAACTCAATGTTACACAAAATATTTAAATCAAAATGATAATCAATCGAAATCTAATAAAATTCAATTTGTCAATGCAATCAGAAACATTGAAATGGAATCGTAACATATTTAGTATAGCATGAATTGCTATTATGTGCAACAGATGGCACTTTTTTCAAAAAAGGCATGTTATAACCTGTCACAGGTGTGGCATCTATATAGTTGGTATATAAAAAACATGCATGTATTCGAATGGAACGTTGTGTCATAATTTCAAAGTAATCAATGAAGAACTTTCGGAGATTAGAGCGTTTGTTGCTCTTTCGTCCAACAGAAGGCGCTGTTTTTTCAAAAAAACATGTTTTTTCCTGTCACAGGTGTGGCATGCATATAGTAGGAATATAAAAACATGCGCCTATTCGAATGCAACGTTGACTCAAAATTTCAAAGCAATTGGTAAAGAGGTTTCGAAGATTTCCCTCCCATGAAAAACACATGAAAAACTTTTTTTTAAAAATAAGCATGTTTTTTTTCCGTCACAGACGTGACATCTATATAATATGTATATAAAAACCCGCTCGGATGCCAATGGAACGTTGTGTGAAAATTTCAAAGCAATCGGTGAAAAACTTTCGGAGATTAGCGGTTATGCAGAAGCGAACATTTCCATATATATATGGAAATGCCCGGATGCAGACGACAGCAGACTAGACAGTGTAACAGACAGCACTGACAGCTCGATAGGTCCAGACACTACAACAGTCTACAACAGAGCGAGTCAGACCAGGACAGACATATGTAAATTTTATGCAAAGGGAATATGCAGACAGATATGCTGGTAATAAGAAAGGATTAGAATGCAATTACCACCATCCAAATTTATTTTTTAAATATGCTAAGGAAAGGACAGTGTCGATTTGGTTCAACGTGTAAGTTTTTCCTTCCTGACATTTGCCAAACCTCACTCGGGGACAGAAAATGCTATGACTTCAGCTGCCCATACTTCCACGTGAAAGACACAGAACGCTACATAAAGAGTGTCAAGCAAGATAATAAATTTGGAAGAAACTCCTTTTTTACCAAACCGAAAGAGATTTCAAAGGGAGGACCACAGAGACTGTATGGAACTGGATGCCAGACCCACTTGCATACCAGAATTACAGATGCAACTACACACCAGAAAGGAACTACAACAGGCCACTGCCCTACAACAATCAGCACTGGTCAGAACATACTCAATATGTCTACACATAAACGGCTTGCCAAAAAAGACTCCCAGTTAAACTATCCCTAACATAGTAACCCCGTTCATCTTTGCCAACATACAAGGACTAAAAACAAGAACAAAAAACAAAGTACAATTCATAAATGGCCGCCTCGCGGAGTAAAATGCGGTATTTGGAGTTTTCACAGAAACCCATGCAGGGGAATTCTTGGACAGTGAGATCTGGATACCAGGATATAATCTATACAGGTGTGTATAGGTTATATATATTAGGGTAATTAGATCACATGGAGGAGTGGGTCTGTATATTAGGGAAGACCTTGTATGCTCGGAGCTCCTTAACGTAACAAATGAGGTGGTAGAGGTACTGGGAATAAAAATAGAGAAAATAAACTTAGTTATTATTCTAATATACAAACCGCCAGATGCAACGGCTGAAGAATTCGCAGAACAGATAAACAAAAGAGAGAATAGCATTGATAATTTGGAGAACCGGATACCTGATATTATCTTCCTAGGTGACTTCAACTTGCCTAGTCTAAGATGGAGAATAGCAAACCATAATATTATACCAGAAAATCTATCGGGACATAACCAATCACAGATTAGAAAACTGCTTAGATTAAACACGGGCCACAGGGATAAGAGCCTCGTTGGACGTAGAATCACTGTTTACCAACGTACCTGTGGATGAAACAATCGGGATGATATATATGTATCGTGATATGATATACAGAGTGTATCGTGATCCGGCCTGTACTCCTCTTGACATACCAGAAAACATTCTAAGGAAACTACTCCAAGCTTGTACTAAAGAGGCACCCTTCATGAGCCCGGATGGGCACATGTATAAGCAAGTAGATGGGGTCGCCATGGGTTCTTCCCTAGGTGTCCTGTTTGCGAACTTTTACATGGGTACCATCGAACAAAAGGTCTTAGTCGACATGAAATTGAAACCGGCCATATACTGCAGGTATGTTGACGACATTTTTACACAGGTACCTGATGTCAGACATCTGCAGGAGCTGAAGGAGGCATTTGAGCGGAATTCTGTGTTGCGTTTCACTTACGAGATAGAGAAGGATGGGAAGCTGCCCTTTCTAGATGTAGCAGTCATGGAAAGGAGCGGAGGTTTCCACACTGCAGTCTACACTAAGGGAACAAACATAGGAATGTGCCTCAATGCCAACAGTGACTGCCCAGACAGGTACAAGAGGAGTGTCGTTAACGCTTATGTCGACCGTGCTCTCAGCCACAGCTCAGGATGGAAGCACGTCGATGAAGAACTCTGTAGGGTAAGGCAGGACCTAGTCAACAACGGCTTCTCCAATGGTTTCGATGAAGACATTATAAGAAGGAAGGTGAAACGCCATGCAACCTCTGAAGAGACAACTAACACAACACCTGTACCTTCTATTAGACTATTTTACAGGAACTTTTTTTCCACAGCTCATAAAACGGAGGAAAGGGTCCTGAAAGATATTGTTAATAGAAACGTTATCCCTACAGACAAAAATGAGAAGATACAATTGACGATCTACTATAAAACCAAGAAAACAGCCAATCTACTCATGAGAAACTCTCCACACACAAAGCAGAACGCTTTAAATGAGACCAATGTCGTCTATGCCTTCAAATGCCCACTTGGGGACTGTAAGCCTCAAAGAATTCCGTATATAGGCAAGACAAGAACATCTCTTTCCAGGCGATTAACGATGCATAAGCAACAGGGCTCCATTAAGGAACATATAATCTCTTCCCACAATTAGACCATCACCAGAGAAGTCTTAACAAAAAACACGGAAATCATCGATAGATACAGTGGCAAATCTTTGAACCTTCTCCAGTTTAGTCTTATCCTTGACTAGATATGGACTCCATGCTGGGGCTGCATACTCCAATATTGGCCTGACATATGTGGTATACAAAGTTCTGAATGATTCTTTACACAAATTTCTGAATGCCGTTTCGTATGTTGGCCAGCCTGGCATATGCCGCTGATGTTATCCTCTTGATATCCTCTGTCTCCTGCAGACCTGCTGCAGGAGACAGGTCTGGCGTGATATCAACTCCCAAGTCTTTTTCTTTCTCTGACTCCTGAAGAATTTCCTCTCCCAGATGATACCTTGTATTTGGCCTCCTGCTCCCTACACCTATCTTCATTATATTACATTTGGTTGGGTTAAACTCTAACAACCACTTGTTCGACCATTCCTGCAGTTTGTCTAGGTCTTCTTGAAGCCTCAAACAGTCCTCTTCTGTCTTAATCCTTCTCATAATTTTGGCATCGTCCGCAAACATTGAGAGAAATGAATCTATACCCTCCGGGAGATCATTTACATATATCAGAAACAAGATAGGACCGAGTACAGAGCCCTGTGGGACTCCACTGGTGACTTCACGCCAATCGGAGGTCTCACTCCTCACCGTAACTCTCTGCTTAATATTGCTTAGGTACTCCCTTATCCACTGGAGTACCTTACCAGCTACACCTGCCTGTCTCTCCAGCTTATGTGTGCTCTCCAGCTTATGTGTGCTCTCCAGCTCTCCAGCTTATGTGTGTGTGTGTGTGTGTGTGTGTGTGTGTGTGTGTGTGTGTGTGTGTGTGTGTGTGTGTGTGTGTGTGTGTGTGTGTGTGTGTGTGTGTGTGTGTGTGTGTGTGTGTGTGTGTGTGTGTGTGTGTGTGTGTGTGTGTGTGTGTGTGTGTGTGTGTGTGTGTGTGTGTGTTATCGTGTGTATCACGATAATAAACACGTGATTAAAAATGTGACAGTGTCAGACCACGGAGGAAAATTGAAACAGGAATTTCCTTAAGTACTTTCGTATAATAATACATCTTCAGAAGGAGTGGTTTTACAGGTCGAGTATCGGACATAAATAGGCAGGAGAGAATGGTGGAGTGAGGTGAGGTACAATAAGTGGACACAAATATGAGCCACACGAAAACTGCAGAGGGCCTATTGGCCCATCCGATGCAGCTCCCATTCATAACCGCACACAGGCCCACACATGGATAATCATAGCATAAGATAATATATATTTACAATGAATTAATGAGACAAATGTGTTCTAATGATCCTACTGAAATCGTCCATTAATTGATCAATTAATAGATCAATTAAACCCCTCTGTACCCCAGCGCCTCAGCGTGGCGGTACATAGATGAATACATATTCTTTTAAGGTCTTTTATTGGGAAATTTCATGGTAATTCGTATATTTTTAACTTGTTATATGGATGTTAATGTTTGAACGCCTTCAATAAAATAAATAACCTTATTGTTATCACGTGTATTAATTATTATTATTAATTTGATAATTTAATGTTATATATTATTTAAGAAATTAATGTTAAAATAATGCACATTTATTTTCCATAGCTGCCGCCACCTCCAGAACTGCCTCCACCGAAGCCGCCACCTCCAGAGCTGCCACCACTGTAGCCGCCACCTCCAGAACTGCCACCACTGGACCCACTTCCATGATTTCCAAGGTTAAAAACAGCAAATGACGTGCCGGCACTGTAGCCTCCACCTCCACCAAACCCACCGACGAAGCCTCCCGATCCTCCTCCACTGCCGCCACCGCCTCCACTGCTGCCACCACCTCCATACCCTCCGCCTCCCGATCCTCCTCCACCACCGCCACCATAGGCTCCACTGCCACCTGGCAGGGCGCAGGTGGAGGCGGCCAGCAGGGCCACACCCAGGAACACTAACGCCAACCTCTGTAAGTTCAAGAGAAACATGAGAGTAGTTTAGTCATTAACAGTAAGTTGACGCCCGCATGTTTGTGAGGCAGACCAGCGCACCCTGGCCGCTCACCCTACCCTAGTCTCATCTCACTCATCCTGCACCGAGTCTCATCTTCCCTACCCTACGCCCATCTCACCCTCACTCATCTCATTTCGCTCATGTTGACCAGACCACACACTACAAGGTGAAGGGACGACAACTTTTCGGTCCGTCCTGGACCATTCTCAAGTCGATTGTGAATGGTCCAGACAACCGACTTGAGAATCGACCAGGATGGACCGAAACGTCGTCGTCCTTTCACCTTCTAGTGTGTGGTCTGGTCAACTTACTTTAGCCACGTTATTGTGACTCATCGCCTCCATTTCACTCATTATCTGCACAATGAGTGCAGACAGTCTCACCTCACTCACCCTGATACGTATATAATGACAATTAATATTCTGAAGGGGCACCATTTGGTCACCACTTGGTCCGGGAGACATCTCCCGTCCCGCAGGGTGCAGTTGCGCCTCCACAGATCTCCAGTATCATCTTTTCATACTGGTAATGGCTCGAAAAGGGCCACCACTTACGGGCTATTCATGCCCGTGCCACCTCTTGGGTGGCTTAATCTTCATCAATCAATCAATCTGAAGGGGGCACACATGGCACCGCTCCTGTGCCAGGTAAGTCCACTACGGGCTCACCATAGCCAGTGCTACTTGGAATTTGTTCCGAGTAGCTGAATCTAAAACAACATTCTGAAGTGTTTCCGGGATAAAGATCACATCCACCTTGAAGGGGCACTAATGGGAGGCAGCGAGTTAAGGGGTATGCCCATGCCACCGCTTGGGTTGCTTAAATCAGTCAATCGGGCAGCAAGTGGAAAGTAAAGAGGTGACTAAAAGTACTATGATGGCATTCAGCCGAGTACAAAACGCTCTCCTGTTGGTTATAAAAACGTCACCATAACCTTGTGCTTCTCGCTGTATCAGCAAAATAGGAATAAAGTATTTGATGAGGAGAAGCAGCAAGAGAGTAGACGATGCAGGCCGATACGACATACTTCCACATGGTGTCCTATATCTTGCCAACACTGTGTTCTTCAATACCAATAACATAATGTTCAGTGATGCAATGATACAACACTTGGATGAATATATGAAGTTAATAATGAAAATGAACTATAATGTTCGGAATGATTTGTTTTAGAAAAGTAAGTTTCGGTTCCATCAAAGTGTTGTTCAATACCCTTTAGAGTCATCGTGAAGATGGAAAGAAGTGGAAGAAGCTTTACCATGCTGATGCTGGGAGAACCAAGTGTTGTCAGAGACTGACTGATGGGCAGTGGTGATGAGCTTATATACCTGCGATGATCTCGTCACGCAAGTCTTGACAGGCTGCCACAAGTATAAACGTGCTGTTTATCTGTTGCGCCACGGACCGCTTTTCATCGTCTCATTGTCTTACATTACTCTCAAGACCTGAAGAATAAAGTTAAGCAGGCAATTTAAAATTCCTTCACTGCTTATTGTCATTTGTTAAATGCATTAACTGAGAGAAATTTCACGAAAAATCGTTTAATATTTATTGTGAAGCTGCTTGTTTTTGTTTTTAATACGGTCAAATTGCGTTAATATCTGTTTACATATTAAAACATGTACCTATTAAAGGTAATATTATCATCTTGTATATCATATTTTTTTCTTTAATTATGAGACTAGGACTTAGGTCTCAGGTTCCGGAACAGATTAGGTTAGTCATCCTCACATTTTCCCTATTACACAATCTCCTTATTGTTTTACACCCCCCAAGTACCGGAGCGGGTTTAGGGGCGAATAATGTGAACCTCTGAGAACGCTCGGGTTAATCATTCACATTTATAATTGTGTCCGGGGACAGGAAGACAGAGCGTATTCATACACGTTAGGCGTATATCGTGGTCCCTCGCCCCTTAAAGTCGAATTACTGACCCCGCCCAGGTTGCAGGATGCAATCCCACAACTAGCTGACTTCCTCCCTACTGCTAGGTAGCGATAATTGGCGATAATTTGTAGTTGTAGCATGTAGGTGAAGTATTTACAGTGTTCCGATTCGAACAAAAATCATCAGCGAAGCACTGCTCGAGAAAAAATCGAACGTCATCAGTTGTGAGTCGTGTATAAACCGTATTTAATTCATAATCCGGTGATTTAGTGGGTGCATGGAATCACTTTTGGCCTTTGTTCATGAGAACTGGCAATTTGAGGGGGACCTAAAGTGCTGAAGAATTAAAAGCTGTCTTCAGTCCACCTGAAGCTTTTTCGTTAATACAAAAGTGGACTTATACGCCGAGCGTGTTATTAACTTTTTCTGTAAAAAGGAAAAAATAATCATAGAGATAAAATGAAGTTAATATATTTCGATCCAAATCATAGTGAACATTTTTCACAGAGACCGTCAAGTGGGTAACCTTCCTCCATCTAGCTTCCATACAGCACACTCCATCTAGCTTCCATACAGCACACTCCTTCAAGAACAACCACCAAACGAGAAGAGATAATAGGAACTGTCAGTCTCCTCAGCTTAAAAAAAATCGATGTTCTTTGGCAAGATATAACTGAGACGCTTGACTGGGCCAAGTGTTAGCGTATACAACAACTATCGCATATCGTTAATGACTGACTTAAATCAACCGTATTTATTGAGGGTCCTGGTAGTACAGTCGGCTTCGTTCTCGACGTACTAATCGAGAATTCCGTGATGGGATCCCGGGCGGAATAGAAATTGTTGGGCACATTTCCTTTCACCTAATTCATCTGTTCACCTAGCAGTAATGAGTTAATCAGCTAGATGTGGGATTGCATCCTGGGCGGTGTCAGTATTTCGACTTTAAGGGGCGAGGGACCACGATATACGCCTAACGTGTAAGAATACTCTCTGGCTTCCTGTCCCGGACACAATGAATTATAATTGTGAAAGATTAACCCGAGCGTTCTCCGAGGTTCACATTATTCGCCCCTAAACCCGCTACGGTACCTGCGGACATGGGTGTAAAACAATAAGGAGATTGTATAATAGGGGAAAATGTGAGGATGACTATCCTAATCTGTTCCGGGACCTGAGACGAAAGTCCTAGTCTCATAATTAAAGAAAAAAATATATATTATAAAATATGTTAATATTAACTCTAACAGGTACTTGTTTTAATATGTAAACAGATATTAACACAATTTGACCGTATTAAAAACAAAAACAAGCAGCTTCACAATAAATATTAAACGATTTTTCGTGAAATCTCTCTCGGTTTAAATGCATTTAACAATTGACAGTAAGCAGTGAAGGAATTTGAAATTGCCTGCTTAACTTTATTCTTCAGGTCTTGAGTGTAATGTAAGACAATGAGACGATGAAAAGCGGTCCGTGGCGCAACAGTTAAACAGCACTTTTGTACTTGTGGCAGCCTGTCAAGACTTGCTTGACGAGATCATCGCAGGTATATAAGCTCATCACCACTGCTCATCAGTCAGTCTCTGACAACACTTGGTTCTCCCAGCATCAGCATGGTAAAGCTTCTTCCACTTCTTTCCATCTTCACGATGACTTTTAAGGGCATTGAACAACACTTTGATGGAACCGAAACTTACTTTTTTAAAACAAATCATTCCGAACATTATAGTTCATTTTCATTATTAACTTCATATATTCATCCAAGTGTTGTATCATTGCATCACTGAACATTATGTTATTGGTATTGAAGAACACAGTGTTGGCAAGATATAGGACACCATGTGGAGAGTAGACACTGGAAGTATGTCGCATCGGCCTGCATCGTCTACTCTCTTGCTGCTTCTTCTCATCAAATAGTTTATTCATATTTTGCTGATACAGCGAGAAGCACAAGGTTATGGTGACGTTTTTATAACCAACAAAAGAGCGTTTTGAACTCGACTGCATGTCATCATAGTACTATTAGTCACCTCTTTACTTTCCACTCGCTGCCCGATTGACTGATTTAAGCAACCCAAGCGGTGGCATGGGCATACCCCGTAACTCGCTGCCTCCCATTAGTGCCCCTTCACGGTGGATGTGATCTTCATGCCGGAAACACTTCAGAATGTTGTTTTAGATTCAGCTACTCGGAACAAATTCCAAGTAGCACGGGCTATGGTGAGCTCCTTGTGGACTGACCTGGCACAGGAGCGGTGCCGTGTGTGCCCCCCTTCAGAATTGTTGTTGTTGTTTTAGATTTAGCTACTCAGAACGAAGTGTTCATGTAGCACGGGCTATGGTGAGCCCGACAAGAATATTTATTGTCATTATATACGTATCATGGTGAGTGAGGTGAGACTGTCTACACTCATTGTGCAGATAATGAGTGAAATGCAGGCGATGAGTCACAATAACGTGGCTAAAGTATGTTGACCAGACCACACACTAGAAGGTGAAGGGACGACGACGTTTGGGTCCGTCCTGGACCATTCTCAAGTCGATTGTCTGGACCATTCACAATCGACTTGTGAATGGTCCTGGACGGACTGAAAAGTTGTCGTCCCTTCACCTTCTAGTGTGTGGTCTGGTCAACATGAGTGAAATGAGATGAGTGAGGGTGAGATGGGTGTAGGGTAGGGAAGATGAGACTCGGTGCAGGGTGAGTGAGAAGAGACTAGGGTAGGGTGAGCGGCCAGGGTGCGCTGGTCTGCCTCACAAATATGCGGGCGTCAAGTTACTGTTAATGACTAAACTACTCTCATGTGTCTCTTGAACTTACAGAGGTTGGCGTTAGTGTTCCTGGGTGTGGCCCTGCTGGCCGCTTCCACCTGCGCCCTGCCAGGTGGCAGTGGAGCCTTTGGTGGCGGTGGTGGAGGAGGATCCGGAGGCGGAGGGTATGGAGGAGGTGGCAGCAGTAGCGGTGGTGGAGGAGGATCCGGAGGCGGAGGGTATGGAGGAGGTGGCAGCAGTGGAGGTGGTGGTGGCAGTGGAGGAGGATCGGGAGGCTTCGTCGGTGGGTTTGGTGGAGGTGGAGGCTACAGTGGCGGCACGTCATTTGCTGTTTTTAACCTTGGAAGTCATGGAAGTGGGTCCAGTGGTGGTGGCAGCTTCGGTGGTGGCGGCTCTGGAGGTGGCGGCTTCGGTGGTGGCGGCTACAGTGGTGGCAGCTCTGGAGGTGGCGGCTTCGGTGGTGGCGGCTACAGTGGTGGCAGCTCTGGAGGTGGCGGCTTCGGTGGAGGCAGTTCTGGAGGTGGCGGCTTCGGCGGTGGCGGCTTCGGCGGTGGCGGCTACAGTGGTGGCAGCTCTGGAGGTGGCGGCTACAGTAGTGGCAGCTCTGGAGGTGGCGGCTTCGGTGGTGGCAGCTACAGTGGTGGCAGCTCTGGAGGTGGCGGCTTCGGTGGAGGCAGTTCTGGAGGTGGCGGCTTCGGCGGTGGCGGCTTCGGCGGTGGCGGCTACAGTGGTGGCAGCTCTAGTGGTGGCAGCTATGGAAAATAAATGTGCATTATTTTAACATAAATTTATTAAATAATATATAACAATAAATTATCAAATTAATAATAATAATTAATACACGGGATAACAATAAGGTTATTTATTTTATTGATGGCGTTCAAACATTAACATCCATATAACAAGTTAAAAATATACGAATTACCATGAAAGCTCCCAATAAAAGACCTTAAAAAAATATGTATTCATCTCTATACCGCCACGCTGAGGCGCTGGGGTACAGAGGGGTTTAATTGATCTATTAATTGATCATTTAAAGGGCGATTTAAGTAGGATCATTGGAACACATTTGTCTCACTAATTCATTGTAAATATTTACTATCTTATGCTATGATTAACAATGTGTGGGCCTGTGTGTGGTTATGAATGGGAGCTGCATCGGATGGGCCAATAGGCCCTCTGCAGTTTTCGTGTGGCTCATATTTGTGTCCACTTATTGTACCTCACCTCACTCCACCATTCTCTCCTGCCTATTTATGTCCGGTACTCGACCTGTAAAACCACTCCTTCTGAAGATGTATTAATATACATAAGTACTTAAGGAAATTCCTGTTTCAATTTTCCTCCGTGGTCTGACACTGTCACATTTTTAATCACGTGTTTATTTTCGTGATATACAACACACACAAACACACACACACACACACACACACATATATATATATATATATATATATATATATATATATATATATATATATATATATATATATATATATATATATATATATATATATATATGCGAACAAGCCTGAATGGTCCCCAGGACATATGCAACTGAAAACTCACACCCCAGAAGTGACTCGAACCCATACTCCCAGAAGCAACGCATCTGGTATGTACAAGACGCCTTAATCCACTTGACCATCACGACCGGACATAATGAGGTGATAGCCGAGGCTATTTGAACCACCCCACCGCCGGCACTCGGATAGTTATCTTGGGCATAGCATTTTACCAAATCACCTCATTCTTTGGGGCAACACGTGAGGAACACAAATGCGAACAAGCCTGAATGGTCCCCAGGACATATGCAACTGAAAACTCACACCCCAGAAGTGACTCGAACCCATACTCCCAGAAGCAACGCATCTGGTATGTACAAGACGCCTTAATCCACTTGACCATCACGACCGGACATAATGAGGTGATAGCCGAGGCTATTTGAACCACCCCACCGCCGGCACTCGGATAGTTATCTTGGGCATAGCATTTTACCAAATCACCTCATTCTTTGGGGCAACACGTGAGGAACACAAATGCGAACAAGCCTGAATGGTCCCCAGGACATATGCAACTGAAAACTCACACCCCAGAAGTGACTCGAACCCATACTCCCAGAAGCAACGCATCTGGTATGTACAAGACGCCTTAATCCACTTGACCATCACGACCGGACATAATGAGGTGATAGCCGAGGCTATTTGAACCACCCCACCGCCGGCACTCGGATAGTTATCTTGGGCATAGCATTTTACCAAATCACCTCATTCTTTGGGGCAACACGTGAGGAACACAAATGCGAACAAGCCTGAATGGTCCCCAGGACATATGCAACTGAAAACTCACACCCCAGAAGTGACTCGAACCCATACTCCCAGAAGCAACGCATCTGGTATGTACAAGACGCCTTAATCCACTTGACCATCACGACCGGACATAATGAGGTGATAGCCGAGGCTATTTGAACCACCCCACCGCCGGCACTCGGATAGTTATCTTGGGCATAGCATTTTACCAAATCACCTCATTCTTTGGGGCAACACGTGAGGAACACAAATGCGAACAAGCCTGAATGGTCCCCAGGACATATGCAACTGAAAACTCACACCCCAGAAGTGACTCGAACCCATACTCCCAGAAGCAACGCATCTGGTATGTACAAGACGCCTTAATCCACTTGACCATCACGACCGGACATAATGAGGTGATAGCCGAGGCTATTTGAACCACCCCACCGCCGGCACTCGGATAGTTATCTTGGGCATAGCATTTTACCAAATCACCTCATTCTTTGGGGCAACACGTGAGGAACACAAATGCGAACAAGCCTGAATGGTCCCCAGGACATATGCAACTGAAAACTCACACCCCAGAAGTGACTCGAACCCATACTCCCAGAAGCAACGCATCTGGTATGTACAAGACGCCTTAATCCACTTGACCATCACGACCGGACATAATGAGGTGATAGCCAAAGAATGAGGTGATTTGGTAAAACCGCTATGCCCAAGATAACTATCCGAGTGCCGGCGGTGGGGTGGTTCAAATAGCCTCGGCTATCACCTCATTATGTCCGGTCGTGATGGTCAAGTGGATTAAGGCGTCTTGTACATACCAGATGCGTTGCTTCTGGGAGTATGGGTTCGAGTCACTTCTGGGGTGTGAGTTTTCAGTTGCATATGTCCTGGGGACCATTCAGGCTTGTTCGCATTTGTGTTCCTCACGTGTTGCCCCAAAGAATGAGGTGATTTGGTAAAATGCTATGCCCAAGATAACTATCCGAGTGCCGGCGGTGGGGTGGTTCAAATAGCCTCGGCTATCACCTCATTATGTCCGGTCGTGATGGTCAAGTGGATTAAGGCGTCTTGTACATACCAGATGCGTTGCTTCTGGGAGTATGGGTTCGAGTCACTTCTGGGGTGTGAGTTTTCAGTTGCATATGTCCTGGGGACCATTCAGGCTTGTTCGCATTTGTGTTCCTCACGTGTTGCCCCAAAGAATGAGGTGATTTGGTAAAATGCTATGCCCAAGATAACTATCCGAGTGCCGGCGGTGGGGTGGTTCAAATAGCCTCGGCTATCACCTCATTATGTCCGGTCGTGATGGTCAAGTGGATTAAGGCGTCTTGTACATACCAGATGCGTTGCTTCTGGGAGTATGGGTTCGAGTCACTTCTGGGGTGTGAGTTTTCAGTTGCATATGTCCTGGGGACCATTCAGGCTTGTTCGCATTTGTGTTCCTCACGTGTTGCCCCAAAGAATGAGGTGATTTGGTAAAATGCTATGCCCAAGATAACTATCCGAGTGCCGGCGGTGGGGTGGTTCAAATAGCCTCGGCTATCACCTCATTATGTCCGGTCGTGATGGTCAAGTGGATTAAGGCGTCTTGTACATACCAGATGCGTTGCTTCTGGGAGTATGGGTTCGAGTCACTTCTGGGGTGTGAGTTTTCAGTTGCATATGTCCTGGGGACCATTCAGGCTTGTTCGCATTTGTGTTCCTCACGTGTTGCCCCAAAGAATGAGGTGATTTGGTAAAATGCTATGCCCAAGATAACTATCCGAGTGCCGGCGGTGGGGTGGTTCAAATAGCCTCGGCTATCACCTCATTATGTCCGGTCGTGATGGTCAAGTGGATTAAGGCGTCTTGTACATACCAGATGCGTTGCTTCTGGGAGTATGGGTTCGAGTCACTTCTGGGGTGTGAGTTTTCAGTTGCATATGTCCTGGGGACCATTCAGGCTTGTTCGCATTTGTGTTCCTCACGTGTTGCCCCAAAGAATGAGGTGATTTGGTAAAATGCTATGCCCAAGATAACTATCCGAGTGCCGGCGGTGGGGTGGTTCAAATAGCCTCGGCTATCACCTCATTATGTCCGGTCGTGATGGTCAAGTGGATTAAGGCGTCTTGTACATACCAGATGCGTTGCTTCTGGGAGTATGGGTTCGAGTCACTTCTGGGGTGTGAGTTTTCAGTTGCATATGTCCTGGGGACCATTCAGGCTTGTTCGCATTTGTGTTCCTCACGTGTTGCCCCAAAGAATGAGGTGATTTGGTAAAATGCTATGCCCAAGATAACTATCCGAGTGCCGGCGGTGGGGTGGTTCAAATAGCCTCGGCTATCACCTCATTATGTCCGGTCGTGATGGTCAAGTGGATTAAGGCGTCTTGTACATACCAGATGCGTTGCTTCTGGGAGTATGGGTTCGAGTCACTTCTGGGGTGTGAGTTTTCAGTTATATATATATATATATATATATATATATATATATATATATATATATATATATATATATATATATACATACATACATACATATATATATATATATATATATATATATATATATATATATATATATATATATATATATATATATATATATATATATATACATACATACATATATATATATATATATATATATATATATATATATATATATATATATATATATATATATATATATATGTCGTACCTAGTAGCCAGAACGCACTTTTTGGCCTACTATGCTAGGCCCGATTTGCCTAATAAACCAAGTTTTCATGAAATAATATATTTTCTCTAATTTTTTTCTTATGAAATGATAAAGCTACCCATTTCATTATGTATGAGGTCAATTTTTTTCATTGGAGTTAAAATTAACATAGATATATGACCGAACCTAACCAACCCTACCTAACCTAACCTAACCTATCTTTATAGGATTGGTTAGGTTAGGTAGCCGAAAAAGTTAGGTTAGGTTAGGTTAGGTAGGTTAGGTAGACGAAAAACAATTAATTCATGAAAACTTGGCTTATTAGGCAAATCGGGCCTTGCATAGTAGGCCAAAAAGTGCTTTCTGGCTACTAGGTACGACATATATATATATATATATATATATATATATATATATATATATATATATATATATATATATATATATATATATATATATATATATATATATATATATATATGTCGTACCTAGTAGCCAGAACGCACTTCTCAGCCTACTATTCAAGGCCCGATTTGCCTAATAAGCCAAGTTTTCCTGAATTAATTTATTTTCTCTAATTTTTTTCTTATGAAATGATAAAGCTACCCATTTCATTATGTATGAGGTCAATTTTTTTTATTGGAGTTAAAATTAACGTAGATATATAGGTTAATGGAGCCCTGTTGCTTATGCATCGTTAAACGCCTAGAAAGAGATGTTGTTGTCTTGCCTATATACTGGGTTTTTTGGAGCTTTCAGTCCCCAAGAGGGCATTTGAAGGCATAG